GACATTTCTTCAGTACGATTACGACGGAGACGGAGATGAAAGCAATATATAGTATATATAGTGCACGCCACAAATTTTAAAAACTACTGGAGTCTATTGTTATCGCCAATCTCTTTAGCATTTCAAAAACTGTTTGAAATATTTTTCTGCAGAATGGACATGAAAAGACAGCTACTTTCGCTATAAACGCATTTCAGAAGAAATGGATTTTGGATGCCAAGCAAAACCAGTAAGTAATAATAAATGTACACTTCAAGTAGCCTCCTCCACAAGCATCACTACGAATCACGGGCTTCCTGTCTTTTTTGTCAAAAGAGGAGGAATGGTGGCGAGAGAGGGAAAATCAATCCTTTCTCGTCACTAGTCCCTAGCGGCAAAGATGATCGTTACAAAGGAAGCCCAACTTTGAAAAAAGAGTTGCCTGGGAGGAGGCTACACTTCAAGGGGGTTCCAGGAGTTGATTAGGGTGCCTAGCCATCAACGTTTATTATTATTATTGACGATTATGATGAAAAATGTGATGATGGTGATGATTACGATGATTATAATGATTTGTGAGCTATTCACGACTTTCAAAAATGGTGCGATATGCCACGCTTACCGACCAGGGTACTGGTCGTGAACGACCGCTATTTGTGCCAAGTCGTGTATGACTTTCTGCTATATACGTTTTATCTAATTTTGTTTTTTTCAATGTGTAGCCATCTGATGCCAAAGGCGTTTACAGTAAAAACATTTGATTCTAATGACAATGAAGTCGTATCCAGAGTAAGCGAGATGATTATACGCCTTGTCAAGCTGTCAAAGCTGAACATATCTGAAATTCTCAACTTTTATACCTGTAGAAAGCTCCAGAACCATGTCATTACCAAGGCTCTATTCGTGGAATCCCTGATTCTGTTATTGTTTTAGATACGTGCAGTGGACTGAGGCGAGTAAATTTGGAATTTCGATTTTACATATACCTATTTCAAGAAAAGGTTGCTGGGACATATCAGGATACTCCCCACGTATTCTTATTCGAAACTTCCATTCTTAGCGACTTAGTAAATAATGACATTTTTGTGTTTCATACTTTGTCTTTCTGTAACATTCAGGGGGTTGATTGACGATGGAACGCAGAGCTATCAAATTGAACCTCACGATGACTTCCAGGTACTGTGAATCCTTCGTTTTACGTCACCGCGGCCATCTTGGATGAACTTCAACAAAGGGTATTCTCATTAGTATCTATTGTTCGTTCTTCCAGAATGGCCACCAGTCTTTTTTTCTTTTGAATCTAATTGGAATGATTGAAAACGATCAATAGTCATCTTTAAATAATAGAAAATTTATTCATGATCAGGTTTAATCTGAAAGCAGACCATCTTTCGACAACATATCTTTTTAAAAACAAGGCTSTCAGATGCAAGTAGGACTTCGTGAATGAATCAAATCTCCCTTGATAAATATCCCCATTTTCTTTTTTTTTCTATTTTTCAGGAAACTGGTGCGCATAGAATTTCCAAAGATGAAAWTGAATTTGATGCTGATGAGCACTGTGGTAATGCCAGTTACTCGTTGGTTACACTGGAAAAAATCGCGCGCCATAAAGGTTGTAAATTTGATGGAAATGATTTACATCAAATTTACATCATTTTGGACACTTACATCATATATAYATCAAATTTACAAAACCTTTAAAGCRCGCGATTTTTTCCAGTGTTAATCTGCTTGTTTTTCTAAAAATAAAGAAAAGGCTAAAATCAAATTAGACTTCTAAAGTATTYAAGTGCTTTAGAGTGCTTCAGTTAGTCGGATAATAGTGCTACAGAGAGCTTATGATTAATYATTGAGTTCACGATATACCATGCTCCGCGAGCTCAGTGACGACGAACGAAGCATTGAACCGAGAGGCTTCAAGATAGTATAGAAAAGAGCAGATTTGTGTTCAGTGTTACTTGATGYYTCAGTTCAATGCTTTTGTTCGTGGCCCCTGAACCTGAGTATGGGAATTCGTGAATACTTCTTCGTTTTCTCATTCAAAGCGGAAAGCATATTGAAAGTCAGAAATTTTACCAAATATGAAAAATCCAATACACGACCACAGTGAATGTCGTTTGACCATGGATCTTTATTATTCTCTCTTTACATAGGGACAGAGTTTGATGAAAGTTCACCTAAAGCMGCTKRCCCTAAAAGCTCAAAATTAGCAAAAACACTCAAGAGAGTAAGCTMATAGTAAATCAAAMGCCATGCKAATTTCATATCACYATATTGTTATTAGCATTTTTGATTATCCTGATATTATTTTTGATTGACAGCTACGTCGTGGTCTAGGTCACGTGGTCGACACTGAGGATATCTACCGATCTTACTTAACCACTAACGAAACAAAATACACCGAAGTGGTATTCGTGGTAGACAATGGCGTGGTAAGGAAGACAGATGGACTTTAACTGACTGACAGATGGACTGACTGACTCACAGACAGAAGGACTTAACTGACTGAAAGATCAACTGACTGACTGACAGATAGGCCTTGTTTGTGCCTGGTAATGAAGCAATACGAGACATAAAGGTAAATAAATCAACCGAATGACAGATGGACAGACAGTTTTTTTGGTGGGGAAATGATGTAGTAAAAAGACGGAAAATTAGACTTTTAGACACATAGAGTAACTAAAACAAACGCTAAAAATGTTAACGATTTTTCTCTTTTACAGTACCTGAGATTCAACAAAACTAAGCCTGTCATTGATAAAGTTCTTATTTTGTGTAATGCAGTTGACGCGGTGAGTACACATGACGTCACATTATCCTACGATTAAATAAGATTATTATTATCATCGTCCGTCTTACACAAACTGGTGCAACCCACAATTCAGAAACCAGAACCATCCGACAATTTGGAATATAGTAGGACTCACGATTGATAATCAGAGGAAGTTAAATAATGAACACTCCCTAAATGACTTTGTGATAGTGAGGAGCGGCATAGCCAACATGACCCCCTATGAAAAAAAGCAAATCTTGACTCATCAATCCTGCAAGAGAAAAAAAACCAACAACTTTTATAAATGCACACTAAATAGCAAAAACGTTTTCACAGTTCAGGAAAAGAACATTTGTGTTTGATCAAGGAATCCATTAAATAGAAGCTTTCAGCCGGAATTATCTTTCTTTTTTGGTGTTCTTGTCCTTTATAATTCTTTTTTTTCTATATTAACAGCGTTTTTGCCGTTTGTGAGTAATTAACTTTTTGTAATTGACTGTATACTTAAAATACATAATTAACCGACTGTCTCTTCCAGGTGTAYCAGAGAATCAATATACGAATAGTTGCGATTGCTATCGAGATTTGGACGAACGGAGATCGAATGCCACGTGGAAAAGATCTGAAAAACTTTGCCGTCTATCGCAGAAACAAGATTAAAATCCCTAACGATAATGCGCAATTCCTAAGTCATCACGGCTGGGGCAGAGCCATTGGTATAGCTTACCTTKGGGGCATGTGCAGTGCTAAGATATCGTGTGGCATCAACAAGGTACATTTTTTGAAACTAATAGTGAAAACTAATTTGTAGAAATTTAAAGCCAGTTTTTTGTGTKTTTTTTTTTGTTTTGGAAMCTAGTTCAATACAAAGTCCCTTCTTGGCCCTTTGGTTACGGTAGCTCACGAAATGGGGCACAACTTTGGATTTGGACACAATAAACGTAAGYAAGGATAGCACTACGCAGATTCTGAATAAAGTTGTTTAAAAAGAATAGAAAATAGAGCGTTGTAACGTCCCCATGCGGGCAATTGCCTGGCCTGTGATGTGCCAAAGATGATGACTGATTGCATATCAGCTTTTTTAAATCAAGAGACTTTCAATTTAGATGTACGAAATAAAAGTTGAATTCTTTGAGAATTAAATAGACATAATACATATAGGGCTTCAGTCACACTACTGGGCCCCTATAGTCGCTTCTAAGTCCCAGTTGGAAACCTTCAGCAAAATCGGCTACAAAGCTAAATTTGTTATTGAACATCTGTATTTCCTTCAGCTCCTTGCAAATGCTTGACTCCTAAAGGATGTTTTATGTATGGCGGTCAGAGCAGGTAAGTCGCTATATTTTTTTTGTAAACTTAGACTTTCATTTTAAGGGAATGGGCTGCCTGTGGTTTTTGGATGAGATGCAGTCACTGGACAGGCGTCGTCACGAACCGATCGGAACGAATGTCGTGATTGGTTTAGAAAACAATGGGACACACAATAAATGTTCTTCCAACAATGAAACAAAACCTAACAATAGGGGTTCTGTGCTAACGGAGCAATCAAAACTGAGCAGGTTCCGATGGGTTGATCCGTGACAACTTTTTTGACATCCCAAAATATTTCAAACGTTAAGGGTTACATTTCCATCATCAAACGCTTTCTGGAGCACGATGATTATGGAGGGTGATTACGGACTTTAATGCAATTTGATCCTAACTCAATTCAATTTGATTGTAACTCAATCCAATTAAATCGTAGCTCGAGTCACCACAGGAAACCCATCCCAATTAACCGCATTTAATATCCAATTGCATTGCGTTACGATCAAATTGCATTGAGTTACGTTCAAATTGCATTAGTCCTTAATCCTTAATGATTTTTTCAAACAGATCTCAGCTGTGTTCTAGTCAATCCCATGTTAAGCATCTATTTTTTCATTTTATTATTATTTTTTTTTTTTTGAAAGAACGAACCTTCCTGGTTTCTCCGACTGCAATTTAAACAAAATCAAGAAGAAGAAACATAGTTGCTTATTCAATGTTCCAACATACGTAAGTCAGCAAAACACTGCTGTTGTGTATTGATCATTTTCGACGATTCCCATGAGATTCAAAAGATAAAAAACCGACGGCCATGTTGGAGAAGTGAACAATCGATACCAATGAGAAATCTTTTGTTGAAGCTCCTCCAAGATGGCCGCTGTGACGTATAGTGAAAACGAAGAATTACATCTGTTCATTAACCGCAAAGAAATATACATTCATGCGAAATTATCAAAAACATTGCCATTAGAGCGAACAAACATACGTAGGCAATGCACAGCACTGGTGCGAATCCTAATGCACGCCCTAAAAAAATTCTCTTCAGTTTAATTTTACTTTGACAATTTTCTAAGTTCTTCTTCGCATAATAGCAGGTAATAAGGGCACGAGAGCCGTGCACATCAGTGCCGTGTACATACACAACTATATATATACATGGAGGCCGTACGATTGATCCTCCTTCTCCAATAAACGAAAGCACATATTCAATACAGTGTTTAAGACATTTCTTTACCCAATAAAAGAACACTAAATATTGTATGCGCTTTGTATTGCGCAAATAATTCCATTAGAACAAGGTATTAATTGAACGAGTGCTTCTGTTTATTGTTTCCACGAAAACGATTATGAACGTTCCATCTCGAGACTGCCTGCCTGTTCGCTGCAATCGCAATGCGTCTTCGCTGAATAGATATTCCTTCGTTGTTAATGAACACTAAAATTTGTGTTTCTCAATCACGTCTTCTCCCACGTCTCTTGTTTTTCTTAGAATATGAATGCTCGGTGTGGTAATGGAATCAAAGAGAATGACGAGGAATGCGACTGTGGAACTCCAGAGGTATTACTGATTGATGATAGTTAAACGACGACTTAAAACTGACAGTAGAGAGAGTATTGCAGATGCGTTCGAGATCCCGACTGCTGAATACCACTGATACTAAAGAGAGTATCGCAGGCGCGTACAAAATCCCGACGGCTGAACATATTGTTTTTCAGCCTATATGTTCTAACATTTTGTGTGTCCATTGTTTTAGATGTGTAAGCAAAAGGACCCTTGTTGTCAACCCCACGACTGTCGTCTCAAGCCTTCATCTCAGTGCAGCGACTTACACCACACGTGCTGTCAAGACTGTCAAGTACGAATTTGTTTTCTTTCACCGTTCGATGCACAAGGAGCTAGCATTACACCAGGTTTATACCTGGCAAAGTAAAGTGTTGTCTAAAAGAACTCATTCAATGTTCGAATCGATCGCGCAAAAATCAGAAGAGAAATTTAGATAATTTTTAGAATCTAATGTGCGAATCCAGGATTTACCATAGGGTTCGGAGAGGTTATTATTGGCATTGGGGGAGGGCCGATATGTTGATCTTTTAAACTGACTAAATTGAATTGTCATCAAAACTACCATAAAAACCCCAGTCCCCAAGCTCACATACGTAGTAATGCCTAGTCGTCAAAGAATGTTTGATAGTTTGCAATGAGCAAACAGTTTGTATTAATTGCTCTATTTCATTATAACGTCTCTGTATGTTTACATCGAAGAGAGATGCTCAAAACCAGTGCAAATTTGGACCTAATTTATATTCTCTCCGAAACTGGAACTTCAATGAATCTTGTTTTGATATATATCATGCATCAAATATTCCCGGGGGGGACTTCCTATAAAGCATGTTAGGTGTGCTCGACGGACGGATTGAAAAATGACCCTAAAAGGTACGCATAAATTAATTCAGGTATCGATTCAAGACCCTAAACTGTACGAGCATTTTTGACGTCTTTAACAAGAGAAAAGCTTAAGTTAACAAACTGTAGAAAATCAATGTCGATAGATCGTTGAGGTTAATAAAATCTATTTCTCTATCAAAAATTCTTCAATTTTTTTTCCCGTTGTTGAAAAAAATGACCCCAAAAGGTACGGACTCAGCTCARGACCCTAAAAGGTACGCGAGGGTTATATTGACCCTAAAAGGTCCGTTGAGCATTGAGCATACCTATCGTGCTTTATAGGGAATTCCCCCCCCCCCCCCCCCCCCCCCCCGGGCAAATATTGCTCATGTATTTAATTTGATATGCAGTCACTTTGATTCTCTTTGTGGAGCATAATCCTTAGCTTCAAAACAATAGAATGTGACGTCATATGAATGAATTATAGCAATTCCTTCAGTTATCAAGCATTTATTCCTGGGTCATTCTCTTTGTCAGTTTAAGAAACAAGGTTCCATTTGTAGAAAAGTAAAGACTGATTGTGATGTTCCTGAACATTGCCCGGGAGACTCGGGAGATGTAAGTCTTTGATGAGTACTTATTTGAAAAAAAAATATTGAATCAGTTTTGATGTATATATAAGTTGTTTGTCATTTAGTTGTGAAGCTTGGAAGTTATACAAATAAAATATAGAACTGATTAATACAAAATTTTGTTATTTCGCATATTTTGGCAAGGCTTTTGTCCGTTTAAGTCTTAGCTAACCATCGTCTTATTAGGGGATTCTAAACCTCGACCAGAAAACCAGCAAAGGCAACTAATTATAATCGCTTTTGATGTGGTTTGTTATGGTCTAGTGTCCTGGTGATGCAACTTTAACGGATGGTACACCATGCAACAGTAATGTGAGTCATGCATGTCTCATTCAATAATTGCACTGAATTGTTTTTGAATTGGATAGTAATGCTTAATAGATTAATATTTTGACATTGTGTTTAAATTTTTACGATCCCCAGTCGTACTGCTATTCTGGAAACTGTGCAGAGACAAGGGAGAGACAGTGTCAGGATCTCTGGGGATCAGGTGACTCATACAATAAACAATTTTTTTTACAACCTTTGAAATATGCTGTATCCGCTGCTGTTGTATTTTGTCGGCCTTGAGGTACACAGAACACAAGAATAGTCTCCTTCACAGTTCCCTTGGCCATCTTGAAAGGTAGCCGTGCCTTTGCCGTTGAGCGTGCAATGATAGATACCTGTGAACAATTGTCTGTAGGTGTGTAAGAAGGTTTCTATCATTTCACACTCAACGGTCGTCTCATTTCAATGCAAGATGGTGTAGGGAGCGATACAAACGACACACTCTTCCTTTTGCCATTTAACAACATATGATGCTTATACATTGTCTCTAGGAACGAAAGATGCAGCCCAAGGTTGTTATGATAAGCTGAACACCGAAGCCAAAGGATACGGAACGTGTGACCCAGGCTCCAACTCGTCTTGTGCWGCCGAGTAAGTAGAATAGTACTCATCAACTCTCTTCTCCGCTCTCTTCACCGGTTTTTCATAACATGTGCGAGGACTTTATTAACCAAGCTGTTGTACAACATGCATATTGACTACTCCAGGGKTAGATCCAACGGACACACACACTTTAGTGATTGTTTATCATATCGTTACATCAGGACTGTAGGCTGACGGGGGGAGGGAGGGGGAGGGGGGGTTCAGGCGAACCCCCCTACAAGCTTTAAAGGTTCCGGTGTTTCTCTTTTTTTATTGTTCTATTTTAAAAATCTTTTATCATGAACTGTTTTTGAGTAAAAAAAAATTTGTTATGAACTGTTCATACTAGCAGCCAGCTCTTACACACTATACTGTGTTGAACTAGTTTATTTAAACATTTAATTTAGGTCCGCATTATGAAAAAAAACACCCCCCTCCCCCTCCCTCCCATTTTTAAGGCAGCCTATATCATAACAAAATTCATTCTTCAAATGTGTCTTACTCGAATCGTATTTTTTTGCTTCATTTATAAAGACCTCAACGAGCGATGTGCCCTTCCACATTTTTGGTTCCCCATTGTGTTCAAATATTTTGTCAATTTTTACCTTCCAGAGACGTACTGTGCGGTCAAATTCAATGTTCTTCTTCAAGAAAGACACCAAAGGTTAAATATGGGAAAAGTTACAAAGCAATTACTCTGGCTGATTCTTCTAAATGCAGGTATTTGAATGAGGCCTGGTACTTTTGAGTTCCGTGCCGGAAGTCCCCAAACCGGAAGTAATTAGAACAAATGAAACAGCCAGCATAAAATCAGGATTTGACTAGCGACAAATTTGAACAAAATTTACTGACTACCGACAAGAACATATTTACTGACTGGCGACATTTTCCTTAAAATAAATATTTTTAGGCAATATTCAAAGGTTTTTGTTGTATTTTTTGAAGCAACTATACATTCGAAGTTTTCAGCGGAAAAATAAATTTTGCTTCGAATTGGCTTCTTAAAGTTTTGATGAGACACTCTAAAACTTTGAGTGACATCAAGACTCAAGGATTTAACTGTCGGCATTTTAGAAAGCATTCTGTTGATATAACGCACCATAATTAAAAAATAAAATTTTATTTAAAAAATAGTCGACTTTTATCTTACTCAGTGTCACAATGCATTATAAATGGGTTTTAAAAAATTCCCCCTCCCTATATATATAGTGACAAGGGAGGAGACTCCGCTCGAAATTCTCCTAAAAATTAGCCAAAAACGATCGCCCCCAAAAATAGTCCAAACCCATTCGCGTCGAGGTTATCTGAGACACTTGCGCGCGCAAAACAGAAAACAAATTTAGACACTATGGAAGGGGGGGGGGTGCACTCGGGACAGTTTCACCTGTCATCCAAAATTGAGAATGCTGATCAACGGTCACCACAAGAAAATTATTCAAATTTGCACTTTTTTAATTTGTTTATCACAAATATACATATACAATAGACAAAAATTATTATTTATAGATTTGGGAGTGGCACACCAAGTGGTGATGTGTGTKGTRATGTGTATATTTTGATTATTATTTACAAATTTGCACTTGATTGTGAATCAGAATGMAACCTTATYCTTTGGTTTCAGCGCTGCAGTTCTTAAGACAACAGATGATGCCCTTGGTCAGGGAATGGTGCAAGATGGAACAARATGCGGTCATGAAAAGGTATTSATTAGTGATAGCTAAAATTCCTTATYTTATTATTACAATTCGCTTTTCTTCGTATGCATAGAAGAGTGAACTGGAACAATTTTAAGTTCCAGTCAAACCAGTTCGGCCGGTTTAATGATGTAAACGTTTTCAAACAAAAAACGTTTTTCAATTAGGTGCAGTAAACATCTTAACTCACATGCTATTGTAAGCAATCTATTCAAATTAACCGATCCACACTGGAAAAAATTGCGCGCCATAAAGGTTGTAAATTTGATGTAAATATGATGTAAGTGTCCAAAATGATAGAAATTTGATGGAAATGATTTACATCAAATTTATATCATTTTGGACACTTACATCATATATACATCAAATTTAAAACCTTTAAAGCGCGTGATTTTTTCCAGTGCCAGGTCCAACAAGGTTATTTATGAATCCAATGTCGCGATGAGTTCAATGATGAATAGACGTATCAATAACATCACATGTAAAGTAAARAAATACTGTACGTGATGTTATTCGGAGCGCGAGTATCTGTAACTTCATCATCATCATCATCATTATTATAATTAAAAGTATTTGTATTTTATTTATTTATTTTATTTAATTCTCCTATAATTTATCTATTTTTCTACTTTTTATATCTTTTAAATATTGGTGGGAACTAGCGGTAAACTAGTGTGAGCTGCGTCGGTGTTTCTAAAAAAACAGTTGTGTAAAAAGATAAATTTAACTTGGTAAAAAAAGTATTTGAAATAACTTACTTACTTACTTTAGTAAGTTATTTCCCATACTTTTTTACGGTATTAAATTCATCTTTTTACACAACTGTTTCTTTTAAATATTACTACAATTGTCTGTTTAAACATGAAAACTAAGCATAAACAAAGGTTGCGGCATATTTTCAAGTGACCCTAAAATATAGAGTTACAATCCTTGTCTATTATTATCCGTTACGCATTTAATATCTAAAGTCGTGCAAGCATAATAAGGACGTTCGTTTTCTTTTGGTCTTCAAAAATGGTGAAAAAAGTCGCTACTATGCACTCTTCGTCAGCGTTCACCATCGTGGCTTCACTAGCGATGCTGCTTTTGTGTTTTGGAGAATTTGTGCGTATTGAGATCGTCTTAAAAAGGCAAACGAATCGGCTTGATGAATTTGAGAAGTTAACAACCTCAACACAACGTGACAGGAATACCGCAAGTATTGATGATCGCCATTCTTCAAAATATAATCAAGAATTTGTGAATATGAAGCTAATGCTATATGCTCAAACCTCAAAAATAAAGAAGTTAGAAAGAGAGGTTATTTTCTTAAAGAGGAACTCGAAACATGTTGACAATT